AGTAAAACAGCCACACTGGCCAGCCTGACACACCAGGCAACAATGATACAACACACCTTTAATCCGAGTAGCCAAACTAGCTTGCCTTAGAAACCAGGTGTGTTCACCTTTAATCCCAGAACTAGAGAGGTTTATAAAATGAGAGAAGACAGCTCTCACTCACAGTCCCATTTTGAGAATCCTGGAGGCAGGATCGCCATTTCGGACTGAGGTTGAGGTAAGAAGCAGTGGCTGGCTGCTTTGCTTTTCTGGTCTTCAGGTTGAATCTCAATATCCGTCTCTGAGTTTTTATTAATTGTGCTTCACTCCAACATGTGTGCTATGTTACTCACGAAAAGGAAAGAAGTATCAGTGTTGATACCCAGGAAGTCGATATGAACCTTTTGGAAATGGAGGTTTGTTAGCATCATCATGCAGCTCATATCCTTAAGGGAATCAGCATCCCCCTTTCAACAGCATCTTCTAACCAACCTATCTAGAATGAATTCTAAAGAATGAAGACCACGGATTTTTTTACAAAGTTAGGATTGAATGTACTATCAAAAATACCCTGAGTTAAGGACAAGAAAACAATCATTCCAACTGCCTAAATCAGTGATTGTCCCGTGTTTTAATTTGTTGTGTTACCTCTATTAGCTGGACTGTGCCAATGTCTGTCTTTCATTGGAGATTTACCGGACGGTGAATGTATGAATGAATGAAATCATGCTTTTCTCTTTGCCAGTGTGGGGTCTCCCACTTTCTGTGTCCTAGCTGGAAATCAGACTGCCTTGACATCTTTGTGACCAGCCAGCTGCAGGTTTTTCCCAGTGAGGTTCAACACAAGTTGACGCCTTGAACATCCCCAACTGCTGATAAAAATGGTTTATGTTGTAGCTCAAAATAGTGAATGAAATTATCCTTGGACCTGGCCTTCACCCCACATTCCTTAGACCTTCTATTCGCAGACCTCTGGCTACAGACATAGTTTGATGTCCATCCTGAGACAACACAGCCACGTCCTTGATGTCAGTTCCCCTAATAAGTGCTTTCCCCTGACCTCTTATTTCAGGATTCCTTTTTAGAATTCCATCGAACCCAACGTCAGGGTGGCAGAGAAGCACTGCCTTGTGGGGATTTTTTTCTCTCTCCTTTTAGAGTAATTTAAACTTAAGTTCAGTCAATTTCTAAATTTATGTAAAGGAGCAGACCGGTTCCTTGTCTTAAAAGTCCACAGGAATTGAGACTACACATCAGAGTGTTTGAGTGTAGAACTCCATGCTGGACCAGTGTCTAGAGCATGAAACAAGAAGTCTATACCCTCAGGAGATGCAAGGCAGAGAGTAAGCCCTCTTCCAGAAAGGGTGTTTAGTTCTATTAAAATCAACTTTCCGGGCCCAGTAAGTTCTACCTACGTCATCAGCTCATACAATTCACAGCGATGTTAATAGGCATGTGTTACTTTGTCCACATTACAGATATGAAACACAGGTTGTGAGATTACATATCCCTTTCATATCAATTGATTTCTTTCATTAAGAGAAACAGGATTGCTGTATATTGTGTGGTGACATGAGCAGCCTTTGATGAAGACAGTCAGTGTCTATCTTCCTGAATGAAGTCATTAGGTCTTCATATACTGCCTCTGTCTTCATCTCTTCCCTTCCATCCATTTGTGGTGCAGCTTATGCAAGAAAGACGGTAAATTTTTTAGTTCCACATGTCAATGTTGTTTAAAATCCTTCCTGAGAGAACGCTGTCCTTTGCAGGTCACTTCCAGCCTAGCTAGCCCCTTTTAGAACATCCTTGTTAAATCTCTTCCCATGTTCTCTATAAAATGTTCTCTATAAAACATTTATATTGTTATCATCATATGCTTACAACATAGTCTTGTTAATGAACTGCTATTAGAAATAAGGTAACATAGTTATGTCTCATTATTATTTTAATTCAAAGACAAGATAGTATCATAAATATTGCTAAAAGTGAGGGATTATGGGTGAATACGGTTCCTTGATACACAAAATAAAGAATGATGTGGGCTCTTAACTTCCCTCATGTTGCACACAGTGGAAACAAAACAAAACAAAACCAGTGGGTTCAGACTAGTCTCTCTAACCTGTTTGTCTTTAGCTACTTTGTATTTTGAAAGAACCACAACTTATCATATTTAATAGAATAAAGTATGTAATATCTGTGACTAAGCATGTCTGCTGACACTTGGATTACCATTGTTATGTTTCTCTTTCTACATCTGTGAAACCCACAGTGCACAGACAGTTCAGGGTGGAGGCAGAGGACATTGCAGAATGAATTTGAGAGTAGTATTTTATATAAATCCATATCATAATTCTAGCTATATCCTTGCAATCAAAAATGCTACTGGAATTCAAAATTCCAGCATCTTCATCTAGTGTCATGCCATGATAATGTATTGAATGACATTTAAAGTATTAAATGAGATAACAGATGTCTGTTTTTATCAAAACAGTATATACGTGTGTGCAAGTAAGCACACATGTATATGAGCAAAAACAGTCATTAAATGCCAGCTACAAATATTTTGGCCTTTCTAGCTTGTGAAATGAAAAAGTGGGGGCAATTTTCAGAAAGCAGGTAAAATGTTTACTCTCCGTAGGTCAGTGGAGTTCAGTGAGTATCAAACAACACACACACACCTTTCCTAAAAGAGACTCTAAAATTCTTTATGCATCCTTTCCATGTTGCAAGGATCTGTTCCATGTGGTAACAGTGAGAAGCTTCTCTTTGTCCTCCAGTCCTGAGAATCAACAAAGAGATTTGTGAGAAACCAGTTCAGCATTAATGACAAACTTGTGGATACTTTGCTAAGTGCCAGCATTTGATTTATATAAAGTCGCTTCTTCTGTAAATATGTCTGGATTTTTGGTGACACTGCATGCACACACATTTAGTTTTACATGAACAAATTGGTGCCCACACGGGGTCAGTTGCCTTTGTGAGTTTGGTGGGCTGTAACTCTTCCTCTTACCTAATCTTCAGCGTAAGTCTGTCTCAGTGTTCCTCTGTGTACTGTTTCATTGCCCTAGGAATGAACTAGCAGATACCTAAAAATGCCTTGTTGAACATCATGATGAAATGTAATCAATTCATCTTGGTTTGAAACAAGTTTCAAATGATGCCTAAGACCACAGACTTATTTTTTTATAGTTTCTTTTTTATTGTTTTTCCCTGAGCTATATATTTTTCTCCTCTGCCCTGACTTACTCTGCTCTCCACTTCTACCCTCTTCCATGATCCCTATGCTCCCAATTTACTCAGGAGATCTTGTCTTTTTCTACTTCTCATGTAGATTAGATCCATGTATGTCTCTCTTAGGACCCTCTTTGCTGTATAGGTTCTGTGGGGTTGTAAATTGTAGGCTGTTTTTTCTTTGCTTTATGTCTAAAAGTCACTTATGAGTGAGTACATAGTATATTTGTCTTTCTGGGTCTGGGTTATCTCACTCAATATGATGTTTTCTAGATCTATCCATTTGCCCACAAATTTCAAGATGTCATTATTTTCTGCTTTGTAGACCCCATTGTGAAAATGTACTACATTTTTTCTTATCCATTCTTTGGTCAAGAGGCATTTAGGTTGTTTCCAGATTCTGGCTATGGCAAACAATGCTGCTGTGAACATAGTTGAGCACATGTCCTTGTGGTACAATTGAGTATCCTATGGATATATACCCAAAAGTGATCTTGCTGGGTCTTGAGGAAGGTTGTTTCCTAATTTTCTGAGAAATCATCATACTGATTATCAAAGGGGCTGTACCAGTTTGTACTTCCACCAGCAACGGAGGAGTGTTCCCTTACCTCATGTCCTCTCTAGCATAAACTATCATCAGTGTTTTTGATTTTGGCCATTCTTATAGGTGTAAGATGAAATCTAAGAGTTGTTTTGATTTGCATTTCTCTGATAGCTAAGGATGTTGAGCATTTCCTTAAGTGTCTTTTGGTCATTCAAGATTCTTCTGTTGAGAGTTCTCTATATAGGTCTGCACCCTATATATTTTTTTTTAAAATGATCCTTCTTTTATTCACTCTTCAGGCATAGCATTGTTTCAGTGTCTGTGTGTGTGTGTGGTGGGGGGTACCTAAAATAGAAAGGGCCCCTGGCAGAGGAGGTAATCTCCCTCCTCCAGCCATGCCACCTTAATCAGGGTTCCAGGTGAGTACACAGACACTTCTGAATATTTTGGCACACTGCATAGGCCATGGCTGCACGCAGGCCTCTGGGAGGGGCATGTCCTCTACTCGCAATGGGATAGCCTTACACAGGCAGCACAGAGCTCAGCTCCCAAATAGGAAGGGGCTCTCCCAGAGGTAATTTGTGACCTACAGAAAAAACCCACCTAGCAGGAGGAAACAAGACCTTTCTTCCCTAGGGTATAAGGCAGGCAGGCAGGCAGCAAGGAAGACCACTTCCATTTCAAGGCCTGAGGACTCAACCAGAAAAACAAATGCGTGACTGTCAGGAGAACGCCACCCTTCAACAGCTAAGAAGCTACCTTCCAGGGCACCAGATGATTCCAGCCCCAGAGAGTAACAAACACATGAGACTCAGTGACCAACTGTGTGTGCCTCCAGGATACCTGGGGCTGTTACCCAACCAAGAACATTAAGTGTCCTTCTTGGCAAAATGTAGGTGAAGTCTAGGAAATCAAAAGCCATGTCACATTCTTGGGAAGTTCATTGCTGGTGATGATAGACTAAGCCCAAGATCCTAAGATAACCCCAGAGGGCCAAGGGGCATCTGTGCGGCTGGCATTAAAAGCCAGGACAGGCTGGTCACATTAGGTGACATGAACCCAGACTCTGGATTTGGGAATCCTGGTCACCATCACCCAGGCACATGCCTACCCACAGGCTTAGGTAATGCATCCTCCCCTCCACTCCGGCTAAAATAAAGCAAACCACACTCTGCAGTATCCCTGGAGGGAGGTGGTTGCTGCTCTCCAGCATCAGAAGAACAAGTCAATCATGGGCCTCATCTATCTAGAGTAGGCTCTCAGGGACCTGCAGACCACTATACAGTACATAGCCAATGTCATCGATCTCCTCTTCCCGAAAACTGTCCAAGAGGTTCACGCCAGGGTTGAAGTGACAGGGCAGGTTAGCCTGCTCCAAGCTGCCCACCAGAAACTCCAGGGCTTGCAGAAAGCGATCCCCCAAGGCCTCCTCGGTCCAGGCTACTTCCTCTTTACCCAGATGCAGAACCACCTGGGTCAGGTGGCTCCAACCCAGTCGCACCAGAGCCGGATGGCCACGACATACACCACATAGCAGCAGCAACAACCTCCGGCGAGTGCCAGCATCCTGGTCATCCAGGGCCCGCAAACAGGCAGCCTCTACAGGATATAGATCCTGCAGCCAGAGATTGGCAGCCAGCCCCTCCAGCGGCCAAGCCAGCAGAAGGCGATCATCAGTGCTGGCCCCAGGGACCACCAAGAGCACAGCTAAAGTGAACTCCAGACACTCATGTTGCACGTCCAGCAGCAGCTCCTCAGAAGCCACATTGGGCCGGATCAGACATCCAAGTAGGCTACCAATGGCTGGCCAGTTGACGGAGGCTGCCAGGGCCTTCCGTAGCAGCTCCAACAAGACACGGGAGGAAAGGTAACCCCCAACCAGGAAGCGATCCCATGGGCTGCGCCCACGGGGATGGAACTCAAGCTGGGTCCTGCGCACAGCCCAGCATCGAGGTTCCCTGGCCACAGTGTCCATGCCAGGTACCAGGCTCCACAGCCCTGGTTCTAACTCCAGGGGTGCTAGCAGGCGCACACGCTCAGCAGCCCCTGCCTGTAGCCCATCGTAGAGAGGCCGGCCTGGAACGAGCGCACCAAAGGGCAGTTCTGGGAACTTGTTCCTCAAGTAGGCCTGCAGCTCCAAGGCAATGTCTCCAGCCAGCTGTTTCACCAAAGCCACATGGGCTTCTGGGATAGTCACGCGGTTGCGCTCAAATGCCAGCAGCTTCTCCTGGAACGTCAGGCACAAGGGTGCTAGGGAGCTGGGTTGAGGCATCGATGTGGTCTGAGAATGAGCGGGTGTGGGCTCCACCGCTTTACAGCCAGGGTGGCAATGCCTAGCACTGCAGCCCCGCCCACACCTAGCACCAAACGAGCATTAGCCAGGAGGAAGTCCACCACACTGCCCAGGCCTTCGTCACCACGCTGCTTCTTCTGCTTCTGTGAAAACTCTGCCATGGTCGCCTGCTTCCCGGCGTGAACACACCGACCCGAGGACGCAGCGAGCAGGATCCTGGAGCCCCAGGACCTGCCTGAGAATGGAACGTGCAAGCCCCGGGAACCGAACGCCGAGCCCCGGGGCGGCAGATGACCCGAAAGGCACGCTGGCTTATTTTTTCTTTTGATGACCAATTTCTTGAGTTCTTCGTATATTTTTGAGATCAGACCTCTGTACAATGTGGGATTGGTAAAGATCTTTCCCAATTCTGTAGGCTGTTGTTTCATCTTGTTGACCATGTCCTTTGTTTTACAGAAGCTTCTCAGTTTCATGAGGTCCCATTTATTAATTGTTTCTCTCAGTGTCTGTGCTTCCGGGGTTATATTTAGGAAGTGGTCTCCTGTGCCAATGCATTCAAGTGTACTTTCCATTTTTTTCTTCTATGAGGTTTTTTGTTGACGTCTTTGATCCATTTGAACTTGAGTTCTGTGCATGGCAACAGATCAATTTTCATTCTTCTACATGTTGATATCCAATTATTCCAGCACCATTTGTTGAGCATGCTTTCTTTTGTCTATTTTATATTTTTGCTTCTTTGTCAAAAATCAGGTGTTTGAAGGTGTGTGGATAAATATCCAGGTCTTCAATTCAGTTCCATTGTTCCTCCTGTCTGTTCTTATGCCAATACCAGGCTGTTTTCAGTACTGTAGTTCTGTAGAAGAGTTTGAAGTCAAGGATTGTGATGCTTCCAGAAATTCCTTTATTATATAGAATTGTTTTGGCTATGCTGGGCTTTTTGATTTTCCATATGAAGTTGAGTATTGTTCTTTCAAGATCTGTGAAGATTTTGCTGGGATATTGATGGTCATTGCATTGAATCTGTAGATTGCTTTTGGTAAGATTGACATTTTTACTATGTTAATTCTACCTACTCAAGAGCATGGGAGATCTTTCCATTTTCTGGTGTCTTCTTCAATTTCTTTCTTCAAAGATTTAAAGTTCTTGTCATACAAGTCTTCCATGTGTTTGCTTAGAGTTACTCCAAGGTATTTTGCTATTTGTGGCTATTGTGATGAGTGCTTTTTCTCTGATTTCTTTCTCAGCCAATTTATCATCTGTTTAAAGGGGGGGGCTACTTATTTTTTTGAGTTGATATTATATCCTGCTATATTATTGAAGATGTTTATGAGTTGTAGAAGTTTCTTGGTAGAATTTTTGGGGTCATTTATGCAAACTACTATATCTTCAGCAAATAGTGGGAGTTTGACTTCTTTTTTTCCAATTTGTATCCCCTTGATCTCCCTTTGGTGTCTTATTGTTCTCTCTTGAACCTCAAGTACTATATTGAATAGATATGGAGATAACCTTGTCTTGTTCCTAATTTCAGTGGGATCACTTTGAGTTTTTCTCCATTTAATTTGATGTTGGCTATAGACTTGGTGTACATTGCTTTTATTATGTTTAGATATGTTCCTTGTGTCTCTGCCCTCTCCAAGATCTTTATAATTAAAAGATGTTTTATTTTGTCAAAGGTTTTTGCAGCATCTAAAGAGATGATCATGTGTTCTTTTTCTTCCAGTTCATTTATATGGTGGATTACATTGATAGATTTTTGTATAATCAACCATTTCTGTATCTCTGGGATGAAACCTATTTGGTTATGGTGTATGATTTTTCTAATGTATTCTAGGATTCAGTTTGCCAGTATTTTATTGAGTATTCTTGCATCAGTGTTAATGATTGAGATTGGTCTATAATTCTCTTTCTTAGTAATGTCTTTATGTGGTTTGGGTATCAGGATAATTGTACCCTTGTAAAAAGAGTTTGGCAATGTTCTTACTGTTTCTATTGCATGGAACAATTTGAGAAGCATTGGTATTAGTTCTTCTTTGGAAATTTTGTAGAATTTTGTGCTGAAACCATCTGGTCCTGGGTTTTTTTTGGTTGAGAGACTTTTGGTGCCTGTTTCTGTTTCCTTAGCAGTTATGTTTGCTTAATTTGCTTATCTGGTCTTGATTTAATTTTAGTGAATGATATTTATCCAGAATATTGTCCATTTCCTTTAAGTTTTCCAATTTTGTGGAGTACAGGTTTTCAAAGTATGACCTGATGATTCTTTGGATTTCCTCCATGGCTGTTGTTATGTTCCCCCTTTCGTTTCTAATTTTGCTAATTTGGATATTCTCTCTCTATCTTTTGATTAGTTTGGATAAAAGTTTGTCTATTTCCTTGATTTTCTCAAAGAACCAACTCTTTGTCTCATTGATTCTTTGTATTGCTTTCTTTGTTTCTATTTTGTTGATTTCAGCTCTCAATTTGATTTTCTGTTGTCTAGTACTCCTGGGTGAGTTTGCTTCCTTTTGTTCTAGAGTTTTCAGAAGTTCTGTTAACTCACTAGTTGAGATTTTTTCCAGCTTCTTTATGTAGGCATTTAGTGCTATGAACTTTCCTCTTAATACTGCTTTCATTGTGTCCCATAAGTTCGGGTATGTTGTGTGGTCATTTTGGTGAATTTTAGGAAGTCCTTAATTTCTTCCTTGACTCATTGGTGATTCAGGTGAGAATTGCTTAATTTCCATGTGTTTGTGGTTTTTCAGAAATTAGTGTTACTGTTGAATTCTAATTTTAAGCTATGTTGATCTGATAAGATACATAGGGTTATTCCATTTTTTTTTGTATCTGTGGAGGTTTGTTTTGTTACCTAGTATGTAATCCGTTTTTGAGAAGGTTCCATGAGATGCTGAGAAGAAGGTATATTCTTTTATGTTTGGATGGAATGTTCTATAGATGTCTGTTAAGTTTATTTGATTCATAACACCTGTTAGTTCCCTTATTTCTCTGTTAAGTTTCTATCTGGCAGACCTATCCAGTGATGAGAGTGGGTTGTTGAAGTCTCCCACTATTAGTGTGGGGTTTAATGTATGATTTAAGCCTTAAAAGTGTTTCTTTTACATATGAGGGTACCCTTGTAATTTGCAGCATAGATATTCAGTTTTGAGATTTCCTTTTGATGGATTTTTCCTGTGACTAATGTGTGAAATGTCCTTCTTTGTCTCTTTTGATTGATTTTAGTTTGAAGTCTATTTTGTTAGATATTAGGATAGTTACACCAGCTTGTTTCTTAGGTCCATTTTATTAGAAGTTTTTTTTTCCCCCAACACTTTACTTTGAGGTGATGTCTGTCTCTGAGATTGAGGTATGCTTCTTGTATGCAGCAGAAGGATGGATTCTGTTTTCGTATCCAATCTGTTAACCTATGTCTTTTTATACATGAGTTTAGTCCATTTATATTAAGGGATATTAGTTACCAGTTGATTGCTAGTTTCTGTTGTTTTAGTTTTTGTTGGTGGTGATGTCATTGTGTGTGTTTTCCCCTTTTTTGGGGGTTTTGCTGCTGTGAGATCATCTATTGTCTGTGTTTATTTGGATGTAGCCAGCTTCCTTGGGTTGGAGTTTTCCTTCTAGTACTTTGTGTAGGGTTGGATTTGTGGATAGATATTAGTTAAATTTGGTTATGTCATGGAATATCATGTTTTGTCCATCTATGGTGTTTGAAAGTTTTGCTGGGTATAGTAGTCTGGGCTGGCATCTTTGATCTCTTAATGTCTGCATAACACTTGACCAGGACCTTTTAACTTTCATTGTTTCCTTTGAGAAGTCAGGTCTAATTCTGATAGGTCTGCCTTTATATGTTACTTGGCCTTTTTCCTTTGCCATTCTTAATATTCTTTCTGTATTCTGCATGTTTTGTGCTTTGATTCATATGTGGCGAGGGTATTTTTTTTGACCCAGTCTATTTTGTGTTTTGTAAGCTTCTTGTATCTTCATATGCATATCTTTCTTTAGGTTGGGAAAGTTTTTTCTATGGCTTTGCTGAATATATTTTCTGTGCTTTTGAGTTGGACTTCTATCCCTATTATTTTTAGATTTGGTCTTTTCATGGTGTCCCATATTTCCTGGATATTTTGTGTTACGCTTTTGTTTGATTTAATGTTTTCTTTGGCTAATGAGTCTATTTCCTCTATTATATCTCCAGCACTTGAGATTCTCTCTTCAATCTCCTGTATACTGATGTTCATGCTTGCATTTGTGGTTCCTGATCATTTTCCCAAATTTTCTGTTTCCAGAACTCCCTTGGTTTGTGCTTTCTTTATTGTCTCTATTTCAATTTTCAAGTTTTGAATGATTTCTTTCACCTGTTTGATTGGGTTTTTTTTCCTTTGGTTTTTTAAAACGCATTTGTTGATTTCTTCCAATTTTTTGTTTTCTTTTTCCAGTTCTTTGAGAGAATTTTTTTATTTCCTCTTTAAGGGTCTCAAACATTTTCCTAAAGTTATTTTTTAGGTCATTTTCTTTTGCTTCATCTATATTTGGGTGTTCAAGTCTTTCTGTTTTAGAGCCAGTAGTTTTTGTTGGTGTCGTGTTTTTCTTTGTGGTATTGAGTGTGTGCTTACCTTGTCTACCCATCTTTTCCTCTGATTGGTGTGGATGGGACTGTGTCTCTGATGATCATACTTCTGGTGATGGAACACTTCCGGGTACCAGCGGATCCAAGGCTCCGGTGGTTACTCCTCGTGGTAGAGCCCAGGCACGGTTCCAGTCACCCCAGAGGTTATTCAGCATTCTTGTAGGTCACTCAGTGTTTCCAGAGGTTACTTTGCATCCTAGAGGTTGTTTATGCCTGTTCACATGGAGGTTGCTTGCTTGACCTGCTGCTGCTGAGGTTGCTGGCTCAGGCCTGGTCACTCAGAGGTTGTTGGGTCAAACCTGCTCTGGGGAATGACACTGTCTCAGGCCTGCTCCCAGGGAGGATGTTGCTTGCTCGGGATTGTCCTTGCGGGCGTCCCTTGCTTGGGCCTGCTCCAGCAGAGGTTGTTAGCTCAGGACTGCTTCCGTGGATGTCTCTGACTCAGTCCTGCTCCAGAGGAAGTCACTGGATTGGACGTGCTCCTGAGGGTGTACCTGGCTTGGGCCTGCTCTCATGGAGGTCAGGTTGCTGGCCTGGGCCTAGTCCCACAGAGGTCAGTGACTCGGGCCTACCTTGTGCCTGCTCCAGTGAAGGTCACTGGCCTGGGCCTGGTCCAGTATAGGTCTCTGCCTTGGGTCTGCTCTTGTGGTTGCTGGCTTGGGACTGCTACCATGGAGGTCGGTTGCTTTTCAGAGG